TCGCAAAATCGATCCTGCATCAGATCACATCGAATCCCCTCGGGTTCAAGACATCCTGCCTCACACATGTGACCCAGAGGGCTCCCCTAAGTGGTGGAACTGGGCGAGCCCCCCCCTCCCCGTGATGAGAAACCCTCCCCCATCTCCTGTGAGTGAAGGGAGGGGTGTGACTTGGGGTGCTCCTCCATGGGAGGGGATAGGAGCCCCCTCCCTGCACGCAAGCACACGTCTACCTGGGTGAAATGCTCACACGTGCAGAGAAAACCGTGCACGTGGATGCCAACAAAATAGCAAAGTGGAAATGGGAGAGTAGGTACTTTCTGTTGTCCTCTGATACCTTGATGGTTAATTCCTACCCTAACCTTGGAAAGGTCTTGGCTCTAATTCCACCTTCTGGGCAGGGCCTCCCTAAGACCCTCACCACCCCCTGCACCTCCCACCCATCGCTCTCTGTGACTCGTCTTACCATCCAATCAATATACTATCTTTTTTACTTGACTATTGTGATTTTCTGTCTCTGCGAGGATGTGAACTCCGCGAGGGTGAGATTGCCTGCCCCCTTCCCTCCTGTATTCCTAGACCCTACAACAGATAACCCCATAGTGAGCACTCAGTTTGTTGAATGAAGGATGGATGAAATAGCTGAAGCCAAAGAAGCAGCATGTCCTATCTGGCAGCAAGCATCATAGGGCCCCTGGTCTCCCAAGGCGACCCAAGGAGCCACTGCCGCAGCGCTCCCAGCAGCTGGGAAGGGGGTTTGCGATCGCAGGGCCCTCCTCCTGGGGGTGCTGCTGCCTGCCTGCGGTGTAGCTGTCCTTCCTGCTCTGTACTCGGTGTACACAGCCTGCAGCCCCTGGAAGTGTCATTCACAGGCCGCTTTGTGTAACTGCTCAGGGTCACTGGTGGAAGTGGTCCGGGCCTCTTCTGGGCCCCAGTGACCTGGGGTCAGGGTACTGTAAACAAGGCCAGGTGCTAACTGCTTCCTGCTCAGTAGCTACACTCAAAGACAGCTCAACCCTGGGTCCCCAGAGTCCTCTGTGCAGACTACACACGACCTGGAGGAGACAAGGGAGAGAAATACAGTCCCCATGGCCATTGCCTTTGGGACAGTCTAAGAACTGAAATTTTCCCTCTTGTGACACAGTGTGGAGACTTTCCCAGGGGCCATCATGTTAACAGTTTGATTTTACGACCAACAGGGGGAAAACCTAAAGAATTACTTTCCGAGTCTCCCAGAAAAATGATCGCTGCTGTTGTGTATAGGAGTGTTTTTAATCAGACTTTTAAAAATTGTTAAAATAGTATCATAATAACATCAAAGAAAATGTATCCAGCGTAATCCCACCGTCCTGACATTATGCTTCTCAGTTTTCAAAGTCCAGTCCTTGCCTGTAGGTACGTACGTACCTGATGGTCATGATAGTCACATCCTACAGACAGGGTTTCATTCCGCTTTAAAATTTTTTCTTTGTGTTCAACACTCGTAAAAAAATTTTCTTGGTAAAAGAATATGTTTAAAGCTTCATAAGGCTAGTTATTATCAATGCCTGTGTTATATTCGTTAAAACATAAAAGATGAGAGAAGATAGGGGAGAATTTCTAAAACATCAAGCAGCCAGGCATTGCTACCCAGGCCACCCCAGCCCATGCTCACCAAGTGCAGTAGCTCTGTGGTTTACAATCCTTGGGTGTTGTGACCTCGTCACGCTATTAAACATGTTGAAGGACCTCAGAGAAACTTTGCGTGGGTTATACGTATCAATCTGTACTGACTTAGAAATTAAAACTGTGACCTCTTTAAAATGCTTATTTATATCTATTAAAGACAATAGTAACAATTTCATCAAATAATGTATTTTTTATGAAAAGTGACTAGGCTGTCCAAAACAAAAGAAAATTTAGTGACGAAACTGGCATCGTTTTACATTTTTTGCAACTTTCTTTAAAGTCTGGCTTAATGAAAGACATCTGGACTCTCATAACTTCTGCATTCAATCTGTTGTGATATGTTGCTTTGGTTGCAGTATATGAAGAAAATATAGCCTACAGACAGATGTGTAATAGGAAAAGAGAGGACTATTTTATTAGCCTTTCCAAATAATTGCAGATGTTGTTTGTTACTCAAAACTTGACAAGTGGGAGTTCATTAAAGATTAGTTGCAATGTGGAATCTGAAACAATATCAATGAACTTTTCATATCTGTTACATTAAAATCCATTTGTCTATCTTGCACTTAGAATGAATCTTTTATTCATGCAATTTTGAAACATCATGCATTGGTCACTTGGAAGATATCTGTTCAGGGAGATACACAGAGCTTCTTAATATTGACACGTTTTATTTTAAAGTATTTAAAAAATCACATTTGTTCATATCACTACTGACTTATCAGAAAAGTCTTTAAATGGTAGGAAGCTTTCAAGCTCATGATGTGAGCATAAGCTTCCCCAAAATTTATCTTTTGCTTAAAAGCTTAGATGTTATTATTAGCAATACATGGTATTAGTTGGTTTCCTTGAAATAAGAGACTCACTTGATTAACTTTTGAAAAAATATCTGCCAAATACTCTAACTTGAATAATCATAGTTTGTCAGTCATTCTGTCAAATAAAAATGGTGTTCCATGAAAAATGTTGTTAGTTCAGCTTGTAACTCAAACAATTGCAATGTCCTTTTTTTTAATGACAACCAGTGTACATATGTCTGCAGCAGAAATGCTTTATGCCCATTGCATCATATTAAAAAGATGTTTTTTTTGTGAAGCTCTTTTTTAAAATTATGACTATATACTAATAATATATATGATTTTAATACCACACTGTGTTAAAGCATAAAACCAATTCTTTAATTCATGCCAGCACCTTAGTTCACTTTGCTTTTGCACCGTTCAATTAAAAATGCAAGTAACATCGTAGTATTATTATGAAGGTGGTTTGAGCTTGCAAATCTCCTGAAATGGTCCCAGAGACCCCCAAGGTCTGGGGATCACACCTTGAGAATTGCTGCCTTAGGAAAGTGTTGAGATGAACCACTCTGGGCAAAGGAATACTTAATACTCTGTGTTGGCCTCAGACCCGTATCTGGAGTAAACTGAGCTGGACATCTGTGAGTCACAGACTTTTAATCCTCTATCCCATGCTATACTAAAAAAAGAACCAAGTTATCCTTGCCTACTTTCCCATGGGTCACACCCTTTTCTCAAGGCTCCAGGTCTTACCAACCTGATGGTGAAAAGAAGCAACTAAAGATAACCCTGAGAAAAGACTTTCTCCTTCAGCCCCACAGGAGAGTCTCCCAAACCACTTACTCCTTCCCCTAGGCTGCAGTTTGGTCTGGCTAGGTTTTCCCAGCAGGGAATCCTCCTAAAAGGAAATAGCTCTCAATTTGCCTAATCTCTCCCCTCTCTACCTATGGCCAAAAGGATGAATAAGAGTTTTTAACTGTTCCCTCTTACCCCAAATGGATCCCCTGTGAGCTTTGTCCAGAAATGTGCCCTAAAGCTTTATCAGCATGGAGCCTACCAAAAAAAGTGGGGGGTGGGGCAGAGAGTGGCACCTGGTGGCTCAATTGGTTAAGCATCTGACTCTTGATCTCAGCTCAGATCTTGATCTCAGGGTCATGAGTTCAAGCCCCTCATTGGACTTCATTCTGGGCATGGAGCTCATTTTTAAAAAGAAAGAAAGAAATGTGTCCTAAAGCATTATCAGAGTGTAAAGCACTCCCCACTGGTACTTAAATACCTGTGGGGGGTAGGAGTATCCCTTGCTGTTGGGTGCTTGCGGCTGCCTCGAATGCTTCACCATTGTAATAATGTAGCAACAAACACCTTCTTATTCATCTTTGGAATTCTTTCATAAGGTTAATCATTCTACCTGCTGGTTTTAGTCAACATACACCTAGCATCTGGCAGGACAACACTTTCATGTTATGGCATTTGGTTGGTTACTTGGGAACTCTAAGACTTGTGTGTACCACACCCTTGATTCCAAAAAGAACTGTTCAGTTCCCATAGGAAATATTAGTAATACAAGTGGTGTTCACAAACAGATACTTAGTTGATAGGACAAGGAGAATCAAGGTAACATTGGGGGGCAGAACCCAGATAACAAGACGTAGTTGCCAGATGTAGAAGGTTCTGAGGTTCTATGCAAATTGGACTCTGTAATGAGGTAGGTGGGCAAGAAGTTAAAATATCAGATTTGAAGGTTAAAGATAAAGAGTCTAGTATAGTGGTTAACAAATACGGGTTTGGGGATCCCTGGGTGGCGCAGCGGTTTGGTGCCTGCCTTTGGCCCAGGGCGCGATCCTGGAGACCCTGGATCGAGTCCCATGTCAGGCTCCCGGTGCATGGAGCCTGCTTCTCCCTCTGCCTGTGTCTCTGCCTCTCTCTCTCTGTGTGCCTATCATAAATAAATAAATTAAAAAAAAAAAAAAAAAACAAATACGGGTTTGGAGTCACATGTGTCTAGATTCAGCTTCCAGCTACATAAATTGGAAAAGTAACCTAAACTGAGTTTCTTGTCTCCAAAATGTCAAATGTTACCATACTGACAGGATTCCTATGCACTTGGACTTCGTTTTGGGTTTGGCCAATGGGAACACCAGCTAATGAGAAGGGAAGAGAAGAGAAGGTCTCTCCTCTCCTCAACAAAACATCGTTACTCCTCTCCAGGTGGCCTGCTCTATAATACTGACTTCCTTTCCAGATTCCGGGACCCCCTCTGTCCCCTGTCCCTTTGATCTTAGGGATGGGCACAACTCTGCTACTAGTCCCAGGATCCTTGGAAAGAGAAACAGGTAGGCAAGTAGCAGTAGGAAGCACACTGTCCCAGAGATCCTGCCAAAATGGTGGATCAGAAATCCCAACCAGTAAGTCAGGGGTGAAGGTGCACATAATAGCTGCTTGTTGCTAGGAAGCAGAAGACCCAGAATTTGCATGGAAAACAGTGCAAAGCCATACAAATGAAAGGACCATAAAGTCAGCATGAAAGTGAGATAAGTTCGCAGTCTGCTTAGGAGCTCTTTATTCCCTTCCTGTGGAGACAGGAAGCTGTTCCACCATCCATCCTGCACGCAAAATAAGAAAGGCAAATAGTAAGTCACAGGGGTGAAAGGTAGAGCATAGGAATACGGTCAATGGTATTGTAATAGTGTTGTAGGGTGATAGGCGGTAGCTGTTCTTGTCGTGAGCACAGCATAGCGTATGGACTTGTCAATCACTATGCTGTACGTCTGAAACTAATGTAACACTGTACATTATACTTCAGTCGGAAATAAGGAAGAAAGGAAAATGGCAGCATCTGTTTGGAAAAGGAGCAAGGGGGAGTACAGATGGCTAATTCTGACAGAAGATTTAGAGCACTGGTCACGTTCCTTGAGTCCAATGATTCAGATGCTTTCAAAACTGAGCTGAGTTTCTTGGCCGGGCTGTTTATGCCATCCAACCGACTAGATTCCAATCTCCTCTGGTCTTTGGTGCCAGGCTCTGTCTCAGCCCAGATGTGCATGGTGTTCAGGTCAACATCCCACAAGAGGAGGAGGCTAGTAAGCTCCCCCTTCTCCCTGAAGCTGGTAAGGCCTGGGCGGGTGCTTCTCATGTTCCTGTTGTGAAATGGAATGTACAAACAGGGGATGTGATTCATGTCTGTAGACACATAGTATTCCTGACAGCTAATCAGGAAATGCCTCTTTATGTCTGGTCTTGTAAAGCCTCTTCAAAAGTTTGATAGAGACTACATGGGAGCAATCATTTTAAAGTGAGCACTTGTTATCTCTTTAAGGGCTGATGTCTTGGAACCACCACATCAGGTTCTGAGAAAACTTTACATCCCCCTCCCCTACCTCTGCCCAATCCTGCTATGCCACCCCCTCTCATCGCCAACCCACGAGCGTGTACACACACACACACACACACACACACCAAAATACTTTGGAAGAAATGTCACACAACATGAGGCATACTTCAAACTAAAGTATGTTGTTTGCTTTCAAAGCAGACTAACAGTTTCTCTTAATTTGTATAAAATAGAGAGAAATATTTAAAGGGCTTGTAAGAACAAATAAATCCAGCTCTCATCTGGTGCTCAACAAATAAGGAAGAGGGGGATAGGTAGGGAGAAGAGTTATTTATAAATCATGTGCCTTTAACAACTTGAATTGAGGCTTCCCCAAAAGGAAATGAAAACTGCTCCCCGCCCCCCATTCAGAGAAGAAAAACTAATTATTTTATTTTATTCATTTACTTAATTATTTATTTTGCAAAGAGGCACCTAAATTAACAAAAGGACCAGATGTCAAGGAAATATAAGATCTTCATGGAAAGATCATGGCATTCACAATTTCCTGGTGGCAACAGTTTACTGGAAAGGATTCTTTAGACATCTTAACAAAAATGAAAGTGTGTATTTTAATGAACCTAGGCCAAGGGAAGCTATGAGTACAAATCCTTTCCAGGGTCAAAGGGGATCAAGACTTTTGCTCAATGAGTAAATAGTGTTTGACTGGTTGACTAATGAGGATGTATTTTAAATTCCTCAAGATTTAACAAGACAACAAATTAGACTTGTTTAGATTTCTCCTTTGGACGACGGAAGAACACTTTGACACCCTCCCCTCTGGAAAGGATGGGTGGGGGCTCCTTCCACTAATTCCCAGACTCCTGAACCCTCAACCTGAAGTCACACACAGCTCAGGACATACAGAGGGAGCCTCTAAGTTGGGAGACATTTACTCAAAGCCTTCTCTGAACTATCAAAAGGGGAGATATAGGAGCTTTTGGGTAGAACCTAATATCCCCCTCCCCCAGCAAAAGAAGAGGTGAATTTTGCTTCTCTGATCAGAGGGGCAGTTTTTACTCCTTTTAGGGAACCTCTGTTCAGGTTGTTTAAATGCACAGGAGGTACAGATGACACTCCCCATCTGTGCCCCCTCCCCTTTATTGAACATGATGGAAACAAATGAAGTCATCCTTCTCTCATCTGCTCAATTTACTCACCATGTCTGGCCAGTCCTTCTTTGGAAGGGTGGTTCCAGCTCGCTCTCTCTCTCACCTCAGCCTTGGTATTTTGCACAAGCTTGTTTTAACAGCTCTCTTCTCTTGAGTCCTTTCCTTTCTTCCTGATGTCTCCCCCTTCCCAACACTCTTCTTTCATTTGTCGGTGCCCTCCACAACTACCATGATGAGGTCCTTTGTTTCCACAGAGTATAGATTCCTCTTCATAGCTCTCAAGACTTCCTCATTCCTCCTCAACCGCCTCACGATCCGCTACCACGCTATCACTATTATCGACTACTTCCTAGACCACTCTCCTTGGGTTAGATTGGTTTTCTCTTCCACCGGCTGGCCTTCTCTCTGTCTACCTTCTCTTCCTCCCTTGACCTCCTCTCCAACACCATCCCTTACCTCTCTCTTCAGAGCACTCCTCCCCACCAAAAGCCCATTGCTCGATGACTTCTTTCTCATATTCTTCCCTTTCTCGAAGCTCTGCCAACATGTAGGGTTTGTAGTGCTGAGTTTAGCACCGGATTCAACATACCTATGGAGCATTTTCAAACTGCCCCATTTGTGTGAATCCTGTCTTCCACTAATACGATAAGCTTTTCAAGGACAGGAAGTCCATTTCCTCTGCTTACATGCATTTTGTGGCTAGAAAAAGCTTAGAAGAAAATGCATGATTCAAGCGGATCCATTGACACCATCTGTGTGGTGGAAAGGCCTTCCGAGTCAGACAAACTCGATGCTGCTGTCTCCTCACTGTGTAGTTGAAACCTCTGAGTCTCAGCTTTTTTACCTGCAAAATGGGGACACAGAGTTACTAAAAGTACTGAATGTCATAAAATATGTAAGGCTTCTTAATACTGTTTGGCCTATAATTAGATATCCAATAGATGGTAGCAATTTAAATTACTATTGAGGCTCTGGAACAGGTAGGTGGCAAGATTCAGTTCTGGAAGTGAGTAGGATCACAGTAGGAGACCTTTGACCCTCCATCACTGACAAGGAGAGAGGAAGCACGTGCAGGCTTACGGTCTGATCAGCCCCCTTGATGGGCTTTGTTTACCTGTCTGGAGAAGATTTCCTTTATAAGGTGAGAAGGAAAGCTTGTCCAGATGGGACCAACAAAGCAGAGGCCCTGTGCTCCTTGCCTCAGAGATAATGCAGGACCCACGTGCAGAACTCAACATTGTCATGTAAGAGCAATGATCCAGAGATGAGGAGCAGACATTTGGCCTTGGCAGAGAGATTCTCCAGGAAGCAGGAGCTAGGCTGGCACTTGACCCGTAAGGAAAGGCTCCATTGATTCTGCAACAACCTGGATGCTAAGAGGCACAGAGAAATATTAAGGATATAATGGTAGCAACAGATTATTCCCCAGTGCTTACTATGTGCCTGCATTGCTCTAAGAATTTCTACACAAAAACCTCTTTAATCCTCACAACAGCTCTATCAGGGAGCTACTATTGTTGAGCTGGATAGTCCCTGTCTACCCATCTGCCATTCTCCGCCTTTCTGTTCTCTGCTTTGTACCCCAGAAGCTAGCTTTTATGGATGGCTTCAGTCTGGCTCCCTTGCGCTCTGGATTCCATTTGGGTTCAGCCACTGGGGACTCCAGCAGGAGGCACCAACATCCATGAATGGACATAATAGCATCAGGCCTATGTAATGTCAGTGGCAGTGTTCCTCCACTGAAAATCCCCTACAGGCAAATCTGTACTTACTCGCCATTCTGGTAACACCCCATGGCCCAGTGACAGCATTGGCTCCCTGGAGTTGCCAGGTCTGGGGTGCTTCACTACCCCTTGCTGGTTTCCCCTAGTCCTGCCCATTTTGGCAAGTAGTCTCTTTAATAAACTCCTCAATTTGAGAATGAATCTGTTTCTTGCTTGGACCCGGACTGATAGAATTATTGTCCCTCTTTTACAGATGATGGCACTGGGTGCCGGAGAATTTAAGTATTACCAAGAAATAGTGGAGCTGGGACTCAAACTAGGCCCCCAGACAACCTGATCTCTGAATTGTTTATACATTTTCCTACCAATGCAGTTTATGAGATGCCCAAGAGGTGATCCAGTGGCGGACTCATGATTGCAGCCTTGTACGACATAGACACCCTACCAGGCCATGTCCCCAAATCAGGCTGTCCTCTTCTCCATGCTCCAGGCCACATAGCTCAGATTCTGGATGGAGTGACTCACTGGCAACTGCCTCTCATTCCAAGAAAATTACAAGCCTCTTCCCAAGCCATTGTCAATTCAGAGTTTTGTTGTTGCTGTTCCTCCTTGCTGACCAAAACTCTTTAATTTACAGGTTTAATGAACAATCTGAAGTCCATAGTTGCTTGAAATTCTCGCATGACTCTTGTGAAGAGCTAAGTCTATGCCTTCAGCTTTTGTCACCTGGAACGACACCCAGTTCTTCATCTGCTCATTGGGAAGGATCTGGACATGGAAAGTGACCCAGCGCAGCATCTGAGTGGGTGTTCAAATGCCAGGGAATCCAGAACCACATGGTCCACTGAAGAACTCAGCCCAGGTCACCTGGGATCTGATTAGCTGGGGAAGCTATCTATACGGGGGTTTCATGTGCACACTACTACTGGCACGATGGACCCCACTGCCTCCAGCCACCTGCGAGTGGTGGCCTCTGAAGAAGTGGCCTTTAACACCAACAGAAAGTGCCAGCCATGTCATAGCCGACAGACATGCCAGCCTGAATCCCCACTGCAGTGCCCAGGCCGAACCACCTCCTCCTGTCTGAGTGGTTTGTGTTTAGCCCAGTTCAGACTCCAAATGGGACTGCAAGGCTTTGGAAGAAGTGGACAGAAGACAGAGGGAGGACAGAGAAGGAGATTGCCACAGCCTCCCTAGGCCTATTGCAAGGCGATAGGACATGTGAGGCTTTCTTGTTTATTCATAATCTCTTTTCCTTTCTCTGAGGATGAAGATAATCCACAAAGATCCTAATGACACTTTGGGTGTGGAGGAAATCAAGACTTTTGTTCCATATGGGAGGCAACTTTTCATTTGATTGGTAGAAACCATTAAAGAATAGAAGCGATTTTGCTTTCCACATCTACTTTTTAATTTTTTTTTTTTTTTTGAAGGAGCAGGGAGGTCTACTTTGAGTGTCATGGAATCACAGGCTTCTCAAATGTGAAAAAAATAAAATGTTAAATGGGTAGGTTCACATCTCACTGGAAAAGAAGAGAAAACAAAGAAAGAAAAGAGAAGACGTCCAGATGAGTGCCCGCCAACTCTCCCACAGAGATTTATACCAAATGAAGTACTATTCTGTAAATAATTAGCACTCGGCCGTAAGAGTTTGTGAAGGTGGAATTATCTGATTTGGGGGCTGCTTTTATGGATCCCTGGATTCTTTTCCTCCTCTCTGGCATCTTTATATTTATGAGCCAATTCTTTAATTCACATGTAATTGTTAAAGGCAAGGACTCTGAGGCCAGGATTCACATTCTGGCTCAGCCCCTCGGAGTTTGAGTTTGTCTGGAAGCTGACAAGAAGTCATGTCATGATTTGGGTATAAGTGGCTTATTTGAGAGCTAACATCAGGAAGCATCAGTGAGGGAGTGTGTATGGGGGGTGCGATGCAGGAAAGGGGAGTGGGCCATGCAGTGTGCTTAGGGAGCACACACCCCTAGGGAGTGTCTGGGGTTCTCTCTAAAAGGACATGCTTCGGAGGCAAGGAAGTTGGGCATTTCTCTACCAACTCCCATCCTCTATTAGTTGAGGGCTGCCCTCTGGCCTGTGAACTCCCTGGAATTTCTGGCCAGAGAAACCCTCAGGCAAAACTGGGGATGTGCTTGCCTGCCTGGGACCAGTGGGAATGGAGAGGCTGTGAGCGGAAAACCAGCAGCATCTGCAATAGCCTACCCCTGTCACTACTCAGATCCATGCATGCATCTTTTTTGTCATTGAGTTTTTAAGGTGGCTGGTCACAATTTTCAAGAAAAAAAATTATAACAGGCATATGAGTGAGACAAGCTACAGTCCCTTCTATTGCAGTAAAGACCTAAGCTTTAATTCTGCTTTCATTATCTGGCTCCTCTCCTCCCTGCCTTGGGTTCTCCTATCCCTCAGCCAGTCCTTCTGCTGGTTTAGGTTTTGTGCCCAGTCAGATAAGCTAGACCTTCACCCCAAGGGGTCTAAAGGTCAGGTTTCCACGTCCTCATCAGGCTGCGGTTGCTGCAGTTGCCCATTCATGATACGGAAGCATCAAAGGGGGGAACCAGGATGCCCTGTGAGTTCCAGACATATTTCTTCCTGTTCCCACCATGCAGAAGTAAGCCTGCTTCCTTGGGATCATCAGGGTCAATTATCCCTGCCAGTATAAAAACTTTTTAAGTTTTTTGGCTTGCTGGGGGGAGTGCTTTGTTGGCTCTGCTGGTTAAGCATCTGTCTTCAGCTCAGGCAATGATCCCAGGGTACTGGGATGGAGCCCCTAGTCAGGCTCCCTGCTCAGCGAGGAATCTGCTTCTCCTTCTCCTCACCACCCCCTCCCCCGCTCATGGTTTCTCTCTCTCTCTCTCTCTCTCTCTCTCTCTCTCAAATAAGTAAATAAATAACATACTTTTATTTTTATTCTTTGGCTTTCTGGACCACTGACCCAAAAAGTTTAAAATCACCAGATGACAGACATAACCTGAGATTTATTTAGTGAAACTCTGATTATGTTCCTCTGTTCCGACATTCCTCCCACCTCCCACTCACTGTTAGGAACCAACAATCTTTAGTCCAGTAGAAACTAAAGTTGTGAAATCAAGAAGCACAAACTCCCCGAGGAGGTCACTAGGAATGGTGGTGAGAGGGCCACTCACTACTTTTATTTCCTGGATCGGTGTACTCTACCCACCAAGGACATGGTGCTGGATAGCATCTGGAAGACCAGCGTCCCAAGCCTATGGCATGTCATCCCCAGCTAGCGTCTTACCTAAGTATTTATGAGGCCATTCCAAAATTCTACCAAGCCAGCGGCCTCCAGATGATGTGCTGTGTGGTAGGATCGGTAGATCCAGTGGCTGTGTAACCACTGTCTTGACTTCACTGTAAAGTGGTTCCTGTGGTGTGAGATGATATTATGTGGGTTCCCATGCTGGTAAACTAGATAGTCTGTGAGTCCTTGGATAAAGGTACTGAGGGAGGCACTGTAGACAAGGAAGGTAAACCTGTCCTCAGTGTGCGTAAGTCTCTGTCTCCTTCTGAGGGAGACGGGCCCACCAGCAGTAAGTTGACTCTTTATAGGATGGAACAAACCAGGGCTGAGCACCAGCACTGTCACTAATAGGTCAGGTCAGTCACTGAGGTGCAGCAGGGGCGAGAAACACCTTGGTGAGAAGGATCCTGTGCTGTTACTTCCATCCCTGTCACTCTCACAATCAAATGACAGCAGCCTCCCCTCTAGCTGTAGACGATTGTGAGTCTCTCTACACGCCAGCATAGAGGACACTTTACCTTCTCATTCTTCAGGAATATGAATCTGTTACCTTCCTTCTTCAGAGTCAACAACAGACAACCAAATCCCTAGTCTTTGTAGTTACTGTTGTCCCCAACTCTCTTAAGGGCTAGAACTGTCCCATTAGCTGGAGTATCCCTTTCTACTGGTACACCATCTCAATCTTTCACAGGTGAGAGTCTATAAGCTCCACCACCAAGGGTTTTTATCACTTCACTTACTACCAACAAAGGATTCTCATTACCTCCCTGCCAGTGAACTATCAGGTTCCAAATCCATTTGTGGGGCCGTTTTCTAAGACCACTTCCAGTTCATTGAACTGTC